GACAGAATAACAGAAAATCGCATGTCAAAAATGTTATAAATTGATTTGCATTTTAATGAGGGCAATAATTATTTGACCCCCTCTCAATCAGAAAGATTTCTGGCTCCCAGGTGTCTTTTTAACGAGCTGAGATTTGGAGCACACTCTTAAAGGGAGTTCTACTAGTCTCAGCTTGTTACCTGTATAAAATACACCTGTCCACAGAAGCAATCAATCAATCAGATTCCAAACTCTCCACCATGGCCAAGACCAAAGAGCTCTCCAAGGATGTCAGGGACAAGATTGTAGACCTACACAAGGCTGGAATGGGCTACAAGACCATCGCCAAGCAGCTTGGTAAGAAGGTGACAACAGTTGGTGAGATTATTCGCAAATGGAAGAAATCACCTCGTGGAGTTGCAATGATCATGAGAACGGTGAGGAATCAGCCCAGAACTACACGGGAGGATCTTGTCAATGATCTCAAGGCAGCTGGGACCATAGTCACCAAGAAAACAATTGGTAACACATTACACCGTAAAGGACTGAAATCCTGCAGCGCCCGCAAGGTCCCCCTGCTCAAGAAAGCACATATACATGCCCGTCTGAAGTTTGCCAATGAACATCTGAATGATTCAGAGGAGAACTGGGTGAAAGTGTTGTGGTCAGATGAGACCAAAATGGAGCTCTTTGGCATCAACTCAACTCGCCGTGTTTGGAGGAGGAGGAATGTTGCCTATGACCCCAAGAACACCATCCCCACCGTCAAACAGGGAGGTAGAAACATGATGCTTTGGGGGTGTTTTTCTGCTAAGAGACAGGACAACTTCACCACACCAAAGGGACGATGGACGGGGCCATGTACCGTCAAATCTTGGGTGAGAACCTCCTTCCCTCAGCCAGGGCATTGAAAATGGGTCGTGGATGGGTATTCCAGCATGACAATGACCCAAAACACACGGCCAAGGCAACAAAGGAGTGGCTCAAGAAGAAGCACATTAAGGTCCTGGATTAGCCTAGCCAGTCTCCAGACCTTAATCCCATAGAAAATCTGTGGAGGGAGCTGAAGGTTCGAGTTGCCAAACGTCAGCCTCAAAACCTTAATGACTTGGAGAAGATCTGCAAAGAAGAGTGGGACAAAATCCCTCCTGAGATGTGTGCAAAACTGGTGGCCAACTACAAGAAACGTCTGACCTCTGTGATTGCCAACAAGGGTTTTGCCACCAAGTGCTAAGTCATGTTTTGCAGAGGGGTCAAATACTTATTTCCCTAATTAAAATGCATATCAATTTATAATATTTTTGATTGATGTTTCTGTTTTTTTGTTTTGTTATTCTGTCTCTCACTGTTCAAATAAACCTACCATTAAAATTAGAGACTGATCTTTTCTTTGTGAGTGGGCAACCGTACAAAATCAGCAGGGGATCAAATACTTTTTTCCCTCACTGTATTACTATAAATTACCATACAATGTTTACGAGAAGCACATTTATTGAATATTAATGTATGGATAGCGCTGTCCTTTTGAGTGTTATTCACCTTGAAACATAGGCATCTAGCCAATTAGAGTTGTGGTCGCACGCCGACAATTAGTTTGTCTTGCAAAACCTGTTGTTGTACGTGGCCCATAGCTCTTTATGTTAATGTTTTTGATCGATCAGAGGTTACAACTGAAATGTGATCAAGTTTATTAATTAAAACGTGTAAGCTAATCAAAATAAATGTACATGCTTACCTTGTTATTTCCTCATTGATTGAAGAGGGTTCTGTTCATTTCCTGATCTGGGTTTGAAGGTCAAGACAGAGGGTGCGTGCCAAAGCGCCTGGGTTAATCAGTAGTGTGGGTATAGCTAAAGTTGATCACTTCCGAGGGAAAGTTCATGTTGGAAGCCCTATGTCTATATATGCTTAAAACATGGTTAGTACATTTATTGATATGGAGGTATGTTGATGAGCTGAAATTCCAGACGGTTTAATGTACATTTTTTATTCTAGACATGTCTTCTTCCTATTGGTTAATTGCATTTGGGGTAATGACATAAGAAGCCTGTCAATTCTTTGTTTCAGTTGATGTTGCTTATTCTTGTGTTCTACCTGTGTAGGCCTACTTCAATGCAACTTCACTCTGGTCAGGTAAAATGCCAGCAAGGTCCTGTGCTGGTTAAAGTACCTTCAGCCAGGTTATGCTGATGCAAAACCTCTGTGTTTGTGTTTAAATACTTTTGATAGCCTAAGCTTCAAGGAAGGTGGTAAACCTAGAACTGTGTAGTGCTTTTCCTCCGCACTTCCATCACATATACTATTGATGTTTGAAACCCTATACTTTAAGTCATTTCTCACATAATTGGCTTCCAAGCACTGTGATATGTTGTGAATAAAAAACCAGACTGAAGGACACGGTCAGAACATTACCGCAAACGTTCCATGAAGAAAGAAAAAAAAGATCACAATTATACCACAGGTTTACCTGGCTACAAGTGTGCCAACTACATATTACTCCTCCAAACTTTGTGCGTCAAGGAGAAGGGGGAGGAAATGTGATGGTTGTCCTATGTCCTCCGTCACTAAAGTATTGCGTATTACCATAAATGACCAGACAATGTTTCTGGGAAACTGTTTATGAGAAGCACATTTATTTATTGAATATTTATGTGTGGATAGCGTTGTCCTTTTGATTGTTAATCACCTGGAAAGAGAAACATGTAGCCTATTAGAGTTGATAGACAAGGCTGTGCACTTTTGCCGTCCTCTTTTTCATACGAACGCGACGTTAATTCATTGGTAAACTTCTTGGGTCAAATCATCGCTATTAGCGACAAGTGTTGAGAAAGTGTCAACAGGAAGACATGTATATCCAGAACAAGTGAAGAAAGTAATGGAAGGAGGGAAGAAAAACGAGTGTAAATGTCCGTAGAGAAATAAGGGCGTTTAGACTCGTGTGCTTGTGAGTAAATGAAACTCCTTTCCTCTAGACAGTCATTTAACTTCAGGGGAGACTTATGTCTTTATTGCACCAATACAGATAGCTCAGTCTCTAAAAACGATAGAGGGTTTCAATTAACTGCAAAACCCATGAGTATAAAGTAAGTCTTGAGGCGAGTATGCGTGACACTCCAATTTCGACCATAGACGACAGACGGTTCATATCGAAATATAATTTGAGGAATGTTGGAGTATCCCAATGCGTTCCCCTCACACTTCATGACAGGCCATTGAAATGATTTAGTGGTTGATATATTTTAATGAAGAGCTATCTGAGTGGAAGGTGATTTTAATTGTTAATAAGAAACAAAAGGAGAGATATATTTCAGGGGAGAAATTTGAGGTGTAAATGAGTCCATTGAACAAGCCTGTTCCTTTCCAAAAACAATTTGTCAGACTGTTCTCATGTGAAATAATCTCTTGACAATGACTTCTCAAGGAATGCAAGATGCATGAAGATTTTCTATTTTCATTATAAACTGTGAATATCTCAGTAAAACTGCAAGAGATAATGATGCTTGAAGATTCTCAACTTAATTTATGAATGTGACATAACGTTTCTATTTGAGTTAACCAAGAAATCTAAAAGCAATTTTAAAGTCTAAAGTCTGGATTTTCTGCTTGTTAGAGCTCCATCACATATACTGTTGCTGTTTGAAAACCTATACTTTAGCAGTCATTTCACACATAATTGGCTTCCAAGCACTGTGATGTGTTGTGAATAGAAAAGCAGACTGAAGGACACAGTCAAAACATTACTGCAAACGTTCCATAAAGAAAGAAAAAAACTATCATTTATTCTCATGTCATTTTTCAATGATCACAGTTATACCACACGTTTACCCGGCTACAAGTGTGCCAACTACATATTACTTGAAATAAGACCATTGACATTGACTTGAAACAAATACAGGAGTTGGTTTCAAAGTTCACATTTACAATATTTAAACTGAAAATGAGGCGTTTGAAACTAGTATGTATTCTACTGTACACTGAACCAGACTGAAATGTGTGCAGTTATACGTATGTAAAACCTGATTTCACAATTGGAAAATGTACTGCCAAGTTATGAGTCCTGCTCACTGGCAATCATCCAATCCATAACTAGTAAGTACAAGCATACGGAGTGTGTGTGTTCTGAAATGATCCTGCATTGTTAAAACATATAGTATTCTTTACTTGTTTTGAAATGAAGCCTGAGCTCAAGTTAGAAAAATGTTGAGCTGCAACAGAGAACTATAGACAGTTCATAACGCATTTCTTGCCACAACAAAGTTACATGAATCTAATTGGAAACTGTTAAGGCTTTGTTGAGAAACGTTAACATTGTACAATACCTAATGTGTGGAAAATATAGGATTATGTAAACATAAATATGCAAAATCTTATGAAAAGAGGGTTTACCAGTATTCCATTGGAAGAACTCCTGATGCTTTGCAGAGTAATTGTTGGCTGCAACATATCACAGCTTGTCTTCATAGCCTCTTGGAATAAAATAATCCTTTGCAATTATAATGGTTGCAAAGGAAATTGCAAATGGTCCTTTGTTTTGGAATGGTGATACATTCTTGGCTTTAAAGGTTTAGATGATCCATACTGTAAACGGTATAGGTCAGGTAGTCCAGTCCTTAGCTAATGTATCTATCTCAACATTGGTCCCCTTAGAATATGCAGGTAGAAGGTGTATGCATTCATTCCAAGTTCTCCTTATCAAATGCCACATAACTATCTTGTTTTGAAGGAATATGTGTCATTATATTTGGTAAATCAGTGGTTGTAGTTGAAGTTGTATGTGTGTGTGTGGAATCTGCAGAATGTCCTGAATGTATCTGTGACATTTGTAGAAAGTCCTGAACGATAAAGACAAATCTAAAGGCTGGTTTATCAAATCTAGACCTGCAAGAAGTAGGATTACAATACATTTCTGTACTGTACATTCAATTCAACACATTTCCCCTGGAGGGAGTCCAAGTATCCTGACTTGTGTGGGTTGGAATCACTGCATAACAGAACAGAAATATGAAAATAATTTAACATTTTCACAGGATGAACTAAGAAAGGATGAACTAAGAAAGATAATTGCACAGTAATCTCATACAAAAGTGCTTCTGGAACTGGAAGAGAGTGACAGAATGAAAAACAGATGAAAGAAATATCAAAAAAATTGAAAACATTGGTTAAAATTCTTTACAAAATGCAATTTTTCGGGTAACAAAGTTGTGAAAAATATTCCTATCGTCCTCATAAAAACGCCACATTGAACGAGGCAAGTATATTATACCACATGGGGTACTGTAGCTAGATCAGTATTTCTCAACCTCCGGTCCGGGGACCAGGATCAGTCCCTGGGATGTTGCTAACTGGTCCCTAAGATGGTTAATAACTGACACTCATTTTAGTAAGTTTTCATTTTAATCACTTTTAATGTAAGCTGCCCTCCATGAAGGTAAGAACCATAGCTTGCTGGCCCCTGGTATGAATAAGGTTGAGAAACACTGCTGTAGATTATGTGTTAGTTGTATATTATACAGTGGTGACCGACAGGAAGGCGTTATGTACTTTGGCCCTGGGATCATCAGGGGCCTTGGCCCCATGAGTCATCAGTTCCTGAATGGTCATCCAGTTGTCCAGGATCTTTTTGTTGCGCTTCTTCATCATCTTCCTGTGGCTCAGTTCAATGATGCTGACCTCCTTGCGTCCTTCGCTGCTGCTCTGAGGACTCTCCCTCAGGCTCTCCAGCCGGCTCTGCTGCATGAACTCCCGTCTCCTCCGCTGTTCTTTAGCCCTGACTAGATGCTGCTTCCTCTCCTCTTTACTCCAGTACCGCCCCATCTTCATCTCGGACATAGCGTCGTCGTCTGTGGTCATCCCTCCGCTGCGCTCCTCCTTGATCTTGAGGGCGCGTTCCCGCAGGATCTTGTCCCTGATGGGTCTCTTTGTGATATAGCGCGTGCCGTCTGAACGGATCTTGACCTTCCACTCCATCTTGGCCTCGTTGGCGGGGATCAGCTGGGGCTCCTTGACCACACTGAGCAGGCTGAGCTGGCTCTGAGCGTACTCCACGGCCGAGCGCTGCTGGATCAGCTGCATGTAGCTCTGGTAGTGGCGCGCGTGTGCCGGAATGTTGGCGTTGGGCTGCCTATGCTGGGAGCTACGGGATGGGGAGAGGTAAGGGATCTGGGAAGCCCTGGGAGGATGCTGAGGCTTCACTTTCCCGTTCCCACTCCTCTCATCATCTGCTGGGGCCGTCTGGTCCGACTCTGAGGGGTTGGGGCTGTGGTCGGGGCTACTGGCCTTGCCTGGGATGGGGGCTCGGTGGAGGGACCGGTGTGTGGGGCTGGGGCTAGGACTGGGGCTGGCTGTGGCATGGAGGCTTGCCAGGCTGCTGCGGAGGTTCCTCTGATTGGTGATGGTGATCATCCTCCTCTGGAGGGAGTGCTCGGGGGAGCGGTCCATGGCCAGCGGCGTGCTACGCGAGCTCTCTGCCGTGTTGTAGGCGCTTGAGCTGTCCTTGTCCGACTTCTCTGGTTTCTCCGGACGCTCGTTGATGTCAGCCAGCTTGCACCTGCTGGGCGAGTCCCTGATGCCCTGGCGGAAGCTTTGGTCCTTGGGCACAGGGCGACCGGTTTGGGGAGACACCTGCTGCCCCTGGTCTCTCTGGGTCCCCCCCGGCCCCTTGCGGAGCTTGTGTGCCTGCATGATGTTCTGGCACTCAAGCTCAATGCTGCAGAGCTCCTCGTTGAGCATGCGGAGCTCACGCTGCACGCCGCCAGCTGGCTCTCCCAGACTACACTCGATGGTGCTGTGTCTGCTGTAGAACAGGTCGTACTCCCCGCTGTTACGGATCTGACACTTCAGCTCCAGGAGCTGCTGGAAGCGGTCACCCTCCTCTACCTCCAAGTCCTCTTCCTCCTCTTCTTCGTCCAGACGATGATGCCCAGTGTCCTGTCTATCCCTCAGGCACTGGGACAGTCGTCTCTGGATGTGGGTTAGAAGGGCATTGTGGTCAGACATCCCCATCTCGCTGTCCTTGTCCTGAGTTAGGGAGGAACAGGTGGCAGTGATGTCATCCTCTTCTGTTCCTCTGGGCTGAAAGAAAAAATGAATAACATGAGTTTTTCAGTAAAAAAGCTAAAGGACCGTCTACATCAGGGGTATTCAATTCTTACCCTATGAGGTCCGAAGCCTGCTGGTTTTCTGTTCTACCTGATAATTAATTGCACACACCTGGTGTGCCAGGACTAAATCAGTCCCTGATTAGAAGGGAACAATGAAATAAAGCAGTGAAACTGACTTCGAGGACCAGAGTTGAGTGCAGGAAAACACTCTGCGTCAACAGTGTGATCAAATTAACATACTACATATGTATTTGTACATTGTGTCATAAAGCAATGGTTAAAACAATAAATGAAGTGCATACGTGTCTTGTATAAAACTTTTTGGAAACTTGGGAATTTTAGACAAAGGAAATTATATTCGTAACTATTTGGGAGTTTCTGAAGTCTGAAATAGTTTTGAACTAAGTCAGTGCTTTGGGTTCCCCACTGGGATTCCCTCCATTCTTGTGGAGTTCTGTACCACTACGCTGCTACGCTGGGAATTGTTGTTTTTTCCCCATGCTTTGCAGTCTTTTGAACTTCTCTATCTACCCATTTACAGTATGCTAATCTCCAAACTCTTCAAGCTCTTCACCCTCTTCCATATTAATAAAGCTTTAAACAATATTATTAGACATTTCCATCAGATTTGAAAGAACCTCACTACACAGTTTGATATAATCTCATCCGCTCCACTTAGCGTTACTGGTTATTTCAAACTACAACAGCCTTTCTCTTATAACCAGTAATGACCGTCATACAGTCAGTCATTTCATAGACACGTAGAAGCGTTATGCCTCAAGTAGGCACTCTGTTTGAGATCATTGGTTTCCATGGTATACTCTTTGGTTTGTCCCTATGTTACATGGTGGTGTGACCTCACTTGTTCCTCAGGGAAAAGCTCTGTATACAAAAGGAGAGTATAAACCCTTTGGTCTGTCCCTGTGGGTCTCACCTGCTCCTGTTCCTCCTGTAGTGCTTCCAGCTCCATCTCTTCTCTCTGCTGCTCCTCCAACATCTCCATCTTCAACTGCTCCAGAAACTCACTGTGTTCATCATCCAACCACGCCTCCTCTAGCTAGAGAGAGAGGGAGAGACGGGAGGGGATAGAGCGAGGTAAAGTGAAATAAAGTCGGAGAGAAAAGGATTAAAACCAGAATATGAGAAGCCCTGGCTTACACCAACTGGCCATCCGAGATCCACAATAAGACACACGTCATGGAGTTTTTGCGTTGCAATAGCTGAAAGCATTATAAAACTGTTGATAGATCATTAACAACGTCCCCATCAAGTATCCCTGCCTGACCACACATATAGATATTTCAATTTTTATTTTTTTTATTTTATTTCACCTTTATTTAACCAGGTAAACCAGTTGAGAACAAGTTCTCATTTACAACTGCGACCTGGCCAAGATAAAGCAAAGCAGTGCGATAAAAACAACAACACAGAGTTACATATGGGGTAAAACAAAACAAAATCAAAAATACAACAGAAATACAATTAATATACAGTGTGCAAATTTAGCAAGTTATGGAGGTAAGGCAATAAAATAGGCTATAGTGCAAAATAATTACAATTTAGTATTAACACTGGAATGATGTGCAAGAGATGATGTGCAAATAGAGATACTGGGGTACAAATGAGCAAAATAAATAACAATATAGGGATGAGGTAGTTGGGCGGGCTAATTTCAGATGGGCTGTGTACAGGTGCAGTGATCGTTAAGGTGCTCTGACAACTGATGCTTAAAGTTAGTGAGGGAGATAAGTGTCTCCAGCTTCAGAGATTTTTGCAATTTGTTCCAGTCATTGGCAGCAGAGAACTGGAAGGAATTGCGGCCAAAGGAGGTGTTGGCTTTGGGGATGACCAGTGAGATATACCCGCTGGAGCGCAGACTACGGGTGGGTGTTGCTATGGTGACCAATGAGCTAAGATAAGGCGGGGATTTGCCTAGCAGTGATTTATAGATGGCCTGGAGCCAGTGGGTTTGGCGACGAATATGTAGTGAGGACCAGCCAACAAGAGCGTACAGGTCACAGTGGTGGGTATTATATGGGGCTTTGGAGACAAAACGGATGGCACTGTGATAGACAACATCCAATTTGCTGAGTAGAGTGTTGGAGGCTATTTTGTAAATGACATCGCCGAAGTCAAGGATCGGTAGGATAGTCAGTTTTACGAGGGCATGTTTGGCAGCATGAACAGAGGATCTTGACCTCTGACCTTGTTCCTCAATGTCATTCATCAGCTCTTTGTCTGCTTGTCTCAAACCAAATGGGATCCATATCACAGCCAAGACTTTAGATTTACGTTGAGAGGCTTATTTAATTACCAAAAGGGGAAGGAGAGAGTCCATTTTGGCTCCTGGCTCATCTGCCGTACTCAGTGGCTCATACTCATAAGCGCGCACGCACGCATAGGGCTGTTACATTGACCGTATTATCGCCACACCGGCAGTCACGAGTCATGACCGCAGTCAAATTCCACGTGACCGCTGAGTCACGGTAACTAGGCTTCTCCAGAACTGCGCTCTGATGCCGCTGATGGCCATTAGTAGCCTATCAAACTTGTTAATGGCCAGTCGCTAATGACCTGGTACTTAGCGCTCCATTGTCCCTCTAATCACTCTGACATCCCCAGATGGTGAAGGTGCGTCCTCAGTCCCCTCCTGTACTCCCTGTATACCTCACACAGTTCCAACTCCATCATCAAATTCACTGAAGACACGACAGTAGTAGGCCTGATTACCAACAATGACAAGACAGCCTACAGAGAGGAGGTAGGCAATTCAAGTTCCTCGGCGTACACATCTCCGAGGAGCAGAAATGAGCAAACCACATGGAAGAGGTAAGGGCAGCGACTCTTCAACATCAGGAGTCTGAAGAAATTCAGCCTGTCCCTGAGGGCCCTCAAAGTGCTCAACAGGAGCACCATCGAGAGTATACTGTCGGGCTGAATCACAGCCTGGTGCGGCAACTCCCCCGCCGGAGACCACAAGGCTCTACAGAGGGTGGTACTCTCAGCCGAATGCACCATTGGGTGCACACTGCCTGACCTCCAGGACACCTACTACACCAGGTGTCGCAGGAAGTCCAAGAAGATCATCAAGGACCTCAGCCACCCGAGCCACGGCCTGTTCTCCCCGCTTCCATCACTCAGACGCGGGCAGTATAGGAGCATCATGGCAAAAACGTACAGACTGGCCAATAGTTTCTACCCCCAGACCATCAGTCTGCTGAATAGCCACCACTAGGCATCTACTTGCTCCGCCCTTGGTCTTACTATTAAGCACATTGCTTTGCTTTACAACCAGAGTAGCCTACCTGGCTGGCATGAAAATTAACCTCACGAAAAGCATCCTCCATTCGCTATGCAAGTTCATACATATGACATGTATTTTTTCCCCCTGCCAGCCTGGAAAGTAGGGTGGTTGGTCTGGGTGGATGGGTAAGCGTATAATACGAACGTCTAGCAACCCAAAGGTTGCATGTTCAAATCTCATCACGGACAACTTTGGCATTTTAGCTAATTAGCAACTTTTCAACTACTTACTACTTTTTAGCTACTTTGCAACTACTTAGCATGTTAGCTAACCCTTCCCCTAACCTTATCCCTTGAACGTAACTCCTAACCTTAACCGTAACCTTAACCCCTAACCCTAACCCCTACCTTAGCTAATGTTAGCCACCTAGCCAACGTTAGCCACAACAAATTGGAATTAATAACATATCATACAAACTGGATGATGGACATCACAAATTAATACAATAGTGCATTCGGAAAGTATTCAGACCCCTTGACTGTTTCCACATTTTGTTACGTTAAAGCCGTAATCTAAAATGTATTCATTTTTCCCTCGATCCTGACTGGTCTCGCAGTCCCTGCCGTTACATTTTGGTTTCATCAGACCAGAGACTCTTGTTTCTCATGATCTGAGAGTCCTTTAGGTGCCTTTTAGCAAACTCCAAGCGGGCTGTCATGTGCCTTTTACTGAGGAGTGGCTTCCGTCTGGCCACTACCATAAAGAACTGATTGGTGGAGTGTTGCAGAGATGGTTGTCCTTCTGGAAGGTTCACCCATCTCCACAGAGGAACTCTGGATCTCTGTCAGAGTGACCATCGTGTTCTTGGTCACCTCCCTGACCAAGGCCCTTCTCCCCCGATTGCTCAGTTTGGCCGGGCGGCCAGCTCATTTAAGAATGATGGAGATCACTGTGTTCTTGGGGACCTTCAATGTTGCATACATTTTTTGGTACCCTTCCCCAGATCTGTGCCTCAACACAATCCTCTCTCTGAGCTCGACGGACAATTCCTTTGACCTCATGGCTTGGTTTTCGCTCTGACATGCACTGTCAACTGTGGGACCTTATATAGACAGGTATGTGCCTTTCCAAATCATGTGCAAGCAATTTAATTTACTACAGGTGGACTCCAATCAAGTTGTAGAAACATCTCAAGTGTCACGACTTCCTCCGAAGCTGCCTCCTCTCCTTGTTCGGGCAGGCTTCGGCGTTTGTCGTCATCGCCTTCTAGCCACTGCCGCTCCTCATCTCATCATTCCATTTGTTTTGTCTTGTTTATTACACACACCTGTTTCATATCCCCTCATCAGTACCTGTATAAGTGTTCTTTGTGTGTGATTGTTTATTGTGGAGGAGAGAGAAGCTCGGTGGAGCTCCGTTTATTTTGTTCGCCGGGAATATTCCCTGTGTCCCTGTTTTGCGCACTGGAGTGTTTTTATGCATTACTGCGTAACTCTGTGGTTCAATATAAATCCTGTTATTCTGTGAATCACCCTCCTGTGCCTGACTCCTTCAAAATCACCTCATCACAGAATCACACACCCAAACATGGAGTCAGCAGGAGAGGAGCACCTGCCTGGAGTCGTGGCACGGGTCCGGGAGCATTCAACTATGCTAAC